ACACACACACACACACACACACACATAATAAACGGAATCAACAACCGCTGGTCATTAATATCTCTTAATATTAATGGACTCAACTCACCTATAAAAAAGGCACAGACTTAGAGACTGGATAAGAAAACAGGATCCAACATTCTGCTGTTTACAAGAAACACACCTCAACCACAGAGATAGACATCTACTCAGAGTAAAGGGTTGGGAAAAGGTTTTCCAAGCAAACGGACCTAAGAAACAAGCTGGTGTGGCCATTCTAATATCTAACAAAATTGACTTCAAACTAAAATCAGTCAGAAGAGATGGTGATGGACATTTCATACTCTTAACAGGAACAATTAATCAGGAGTAAGTCTCAATCCTGAATATCTACGCCCCTAATATAAAAGCACCCACTTATGTAAAAGAAAAGCTTTTAGAACTCAAGGCAGTCATCAAACCACACACACTAATAGTAGGAGACTTCAACACACCTCTCTCACCAATGGACAGATCAATCAAACAGAAACTCAACAGAGAAATAAGAGAATTGCTAGAAGTAATGAATCAAATGGACTTAACAGATATCTATAGAACATTCTACCCAAAAAGGAAAGAATATACCTTCTTCTCTGCAGCTCATAGAACCTTCTCGAAAATTGACCACATACTTGGTAACAAAGCAAACTTACACAGATACAAAAGAATATTTGTAATCACCTGTGTCTTGTCGGATCACCACGGAATAAAGTTAGAACTTAATAACAATTCGAATTCCAGAAAGTCTACAAATGTGTGGAAGTTGAACAGTCAACTACTGAATCATCCTTGGGTCAAGGAAGAAATAAAGAAAGAAATTAAAGTCTTCCTTTAATTTAATGAAAATAAAGACACAACATACTCAAACCTATGGGACACAATGAAAGCAGTTCTAAGAGGAAAGTTCATAGCACTAAGTGCCCAATTAAAGAAAACGGAGAAAGCATATATTGGAGACTTAAAAGCACACCTAAAAGATCTGGAAAAAAAAGAAGCAGACTCTCCCAGGAGGAGTAGAAGACTGGAAATAATCAAACTGAAGGCTGAAATCAACAAAATAGAAACACAGAAAACAATCCAAAAAATCAACGAAACAAAAAGTTGGTTCTTGGAGAAAATCAACAAGATTGACAAACCCCTAGCCAAACTAATCAAACGGCAGAGAGAGAACACTCAAATTAATAAGATCAGAAATGAAAAGGGGGACATAACAACAGACACAGTGGAAATTCAGAGAATCATTAGATCTTACTACGAGAGTTTATATGCCACAAAGTTGGAAAATGTACAAGAAATGGATTGGTTTTTAGATAAATACCATTTGCCAAAGTTAAATCAAGAGCAAGTGAACAATCTAAATAGACCTGTTAGTCGCAAAGAATTAGAAGCTGTTATCAAAAAACTCCCCACCAAAAAAAGCCCAGGTCCAGATGGTTTCAATGCAGAATTCTACCAGAACTTCCAGGAAGAGCTAATACCTATACTCCTTAATGTATTTCACAATATAGAAACAGAAGAATCATTGCCAAACTCTTTTTATGAAGCTACAATTACCCTGATACCAAAACCACACAAAGACACAACCATGAAAGAGAATTACAGACCAATTTCACTCATGAACATTGACGCCAAAATACTCAATAAAATACTGGCAAACCGAATCCAAGAATACATTAGAAAAATTATCCATTATGATCAAGTGGGCTTCATCCCAGAGATGCAGGGCTGGTTCAACATACGCAAATCTATCAATGTAATCCATCATATAAATAAATTGAAAGAAAAAAACCATATGATCATTTCATTGGATGCTGAAAAAGCATTTGACAAAATTCAACACCCCTTTATGATAAAGGTGCTGGAGAGATTGGGTATATGAGGAACATACCTAAATATAATAAAAGCAATATATAGTAAGCCGACAGCTAACCTCAAATTGAACGGAGAGAAACTCAAAGCCATTCCACTAAAATCAGGAGCATGACAAGGCTGTCCACTCTCACCATACCTCTTCAATATAGTGCTTCAAGTACTAGCAATAGCAATAAGACAAAATAAGCGGATCAAGGGGATTCAAATGGGAAAGGATGAAGTTAAACTTTCATTATTTGCAGACGATATGATAGTGTACATAAGCGACCCCAAAAATTCTACCAAAGAACTCCTACAGCTGATAAACACCTTTAGTAATGTGGCAGGATACAAGATAAACTCCAAAAAATCGATTGCCCTCCTATACACAAAGGATAAAGAAGCAGAGAGGGAAATCAGAGAAACATCACCTTTCATGATAGCCACAAATAGCATAAAATATCTTGGGGTAACTCTAACCAAGGAAGTGAAAGACCTATTTGACAAGAACTGTATGTCCTTGAAGAAAGAAATTGAGGAGGATACCAGAAAATGGAAAGATCTCCCCTGTTCATGGATTGGGAGAATCAACGTAGTAAAAATGGCAATTCTACCAAAAGCAATCTATAGATTCAACTCAATTCCCATCAAAATCCCATCAAACTTCTTCACAGACCTTGACAGAAAAATAATCAAATTTATATGGCAAAACAAAAAAACCCAGGATAGCCAAAACAATCTTATACAATAAAGGAACTTCTGGAGGCATTACCATCCCTGACTTCAAACTCTATTACAGAGCAACAGTATTGAAAACAGCTTGGTATTGGCATAACAACAGAGAAGTCGACCTATGGAATCAAATAGAAGACCCGGGTATTAACCCACAAACATATGAACACCTGATATTTGACAAGGGAGCTAAAGGCATACAATGGAAGAAGGAAAGCATCTTTAACAAATGGTGCTGGCATAACTGGATGTCAACCTGTAGAAGAATGAAAATAGATCCATATCTATCACCATGCACAAAACTCAAGTCCAAATGGATTAAAGACCTCAACATTAATCTGACCACTTTGAAACTGATAGAAGAGAAAGTGGGAAGTAGTCTACAAGATATAGGCACAGGAGACCAGTTCCTAAGCAGAACCCCAGGAGCTCAGACAATAAGAGAAGCAATGAATAAATGGGACCTCCTGAAACTGAGAAGCTTCTGTAAAGCAAAGGACACTGTAAGTAAGACCAAAAGGCTACCTTCCGACTGGGAGAAGATCTTCACAAATCCCTCATCAGACAAAGGTCTGTTCTCCAAAATATACAAAGAACTCAAGAAACTAGACACTAAAACTCTAAATAACCCAATTAAAAAATGGGGTACTGTACTGAACAGAGAATTCACAACAGATGAACTTCGAATGGCCAAAAGGCACTTAAGGTCATGCTCAACCTCCTTAGCGATCAGGGAAATGCAAATCAAAACCACTTTGAGATACCATCTTACACCTGTCAGAATAGCTAAAGTCAAAAACACCAATGATAGCCTATGCTGGAGAGGATGTGGGGTGAGGGGAACACTCATCCATTGTTGGTGGGAATGCAAACTCATGCAGCCACTGTGGAAATCAGTGTGGCGGTTTCTCAGGAAACTGGGAGTCAACCTCCCTCAGGACCCAGCAATTCCACTCTTGGGTATATACCCTAGAGATTCCCTAACATACTACAAAAGCATTTGTTCTACTATGTTCATAGCAGCACTATTTGTAATAGCCAGAACCTGGAAACAGCCTAGGTGCCCCTCAATAGAAGAATGGTTAAAAAAGGTGTGGAACATATACACATTAGAGTTTTACTCAGCGGTAAAAAACAATGACATCTTGAATTTTGCATGCAAATGGATGGAAATAGAAAATGCTTTACTGAGTGAGTTAAGCCAGACCCAAAAAGAGGAACATGGTATGTATTCACTCATAAGTGGATTCTAACCATAATTAAAGGTCTTTGAGCCTATTATTCGTGATCCTAGGGAAGCTAAATAAGAAAGTAAACCTGATGAAGATTATTTAGCTACCCGCCAGGAGGTAGGAAATAGACAAGAGTCCCAGGTAACCTCGGGTGCATGGGGGGGGTGGGAGGGTTGTTGGAAGGGGAGAGGGTTAGAGAGAAGGGAGTAGGGGAGGAATGGGGAAAGCTCGGTGGCCTGGGAGGGGGAGAGTGAGGAAGGTTGAATATGGGATCAGGGAAGAATATATTTCAAATAAGGGAGTCATTTTCGGTTTTACAGGAGACTTGATTATATATGGGATCCCAGGTCCAAGGAGAGATCCCCAGATTGTTCTCTGGACAGAGAAGAGGGTGCCTGAACCGGCCGTGGCCCATCACCATACTGATGAATATTTTGCTTATCACCATAGATCCTTCATCTGGCGGAGGACGGCGATACAGACGGAGACCCACATTGGAGCACCGGACTGAGCCCCCCAAGGTCCAAATGAGGAGCAGAAGGAGGAAGAACATGAAAAAGAAAATCAGGACTGCGAGGGATGCTATCACCCACTGATACAAGGGAACGGATCTAATGAGAGTTTACCAAGGCCAGTTGAACTGGGACTGAATGAGGACATGATCTAACCAGATTCTCGGAATTTGGCCGGATTCTCTGAATGTGGCTGGCCCAAAGTCTTTCTGAAAAGCCATTGACTATGATACTGGGACTTGTTTCCTCTGCATATACTGGATTTTGGGGATCCAGTATGTTTGGATACTCACCTTCCTGGACCTGGAGGGAGGGGGGAGGAACTTGAACTTCCCACAGGGCAGGAAACACTGACTGCCCTAAGGGATGAAGAGGGAGGAGGAGAGGGAGTGGGGGGAGTGGGAGGGTGTTGGGAAGAGGGGCGGAAATGGAAACTTTTATAATTTAATAAAATTTACTCTCAAAAAAAAAAAGATATATCAGAGCCAGTACCATATTTCTATGGGTTGCATTCATCTCCTATGTCCCTCTCTTTGTTTCTCTTAGACTCTTGTTGAGTTGTAGAACTATTGCGTGGCCCTCCATAAAAATTCTCATTGCATGTGCTTGTTAGTCCTTTACCTCTGCCCTCCCTCTCTGGGTACCATTCACTCACCTTATCAGGCAGAACTCTATCAATCTCATCCTGAAGTTTCTTCTGCACATCAGGGTGGGTGGCCAGCTCATACATAATGAAGGAAATGGACGTGCTTGTGGCGTCATAGCCAGCAAAAATGAAAATAACAGTTTGTGCTGCCATTTCTAGATCAGAAAGAGCTAAAAGGAAAAAAACATTGCAGATAAGGAAGATCAAAGCAGAACATCACAGTTGAGATGAGAAGAAATTCAAATGGCACTCCTCACTGTCTGGGAAAGAACAGAGAAAAGCAAAACAGGGTCATTGGAGCTGAGTTCCACTCTGGTGTCTGTCTGATATATCAGGAAATGGTCAAATTATTTTTAAATATAATTTTATGGTTATGGGTGTTTTATCTGTACATAAGTCTGTGTACCACATGGAACCCTGGTGCCCACAGAGGCTAGGAGAGGGCACCAGATACCTTGCTGCTGAAATTACAGCTAACTGTGAGCTCCTGTGTAGGTGTTGTGAACTGAATCTAGGTCCTCTGGAAGAGCAGACAGTGCTCTTAACTGCTGAGCCATCTCTCCAGTCCCAAGGCTGGACTAAAAATTATTTTAATCCAGGTTGAGCTAAGATCTATATTATTGGTGATGAAATATTAGGCCAAATTCATATCATCACAATTGGGCAATTTCAAGAGAAATAATTCTCTCTAACCAATACTATTATCACAGTGGGGAATGAAAACAAAAGTGTTGCGGTACTTGACAGTGACTGACAACTTGACAAGATCTAGAGTCACCTAAAAGATGAGCTTCCAGGCATAGTGTTTTGATGTTATCTATATTAATTTGCTTCCTGATAGGCCTGTATGCTTTATTGTTATTAGGTTAACTGACATGGAAAGACCTATCTTGTTTCTAAGCATTTCTTTTCATTTTTATTTGTGTGAGTGTGTGCATGCACAGGCCAAACAATGGTGTCAGATCCCTGGAGCTGGAGTTACAAGTGATTGTGAGCTGCCTATCATGGGTCTTGGCAAACAAGCTCAGGTCCTCTGGAAGAGCAGCAAGTATCCATGACTGTTGAGTCACCTTGTCACTCCTGGAAGATCTATCTTAACTGAGTTACCATTCCATAAGCTGACCTCCTGGGCTTAATAAAAAGGAGAGAGAAAGCTGAGTACTTGAGTTCATGTTTTCTGACTGTGGATGTGGTGTGACCAGCTGGCTCAAGTTTCTACTGTCATGGTTTTTCCACCATGATGGACCATACCTTCAAAATGTGAGTCAAGAAAAAAAAACCTTCCTTAAAATGCTTCTGTCAATTATTTTGACATAGGAATAATATAAATAACTAATTCAAATACTGTAGCTAGCAGTAAAATATGGAATCCCTTTGCTACCTAAAAAAAATATTTAAGTGATTTTCATTAAAATATAGGTGCCAAATGTTTGTTTGTTATGTCAATGATTCACAGAATGAAAATTCAGGAATTTTCCATCCAAACACCTTTGAGGGAGCAGGAGAGATGGTTCAGTGGTTAAGAGTACTTGATGCTCTTGCTGGGAACCCGGATTTGATTCCCATTCTTTACACGGTAGTTCAACATTGCCAGTAACTCCAGTTGTAGGTGATCCAATGTCTTCTTATCATTCATAGGTGCCGGAACGCAAGTGGTATATATATATATATATATATATATATATATATATATATATATATACATACAAACATTTATACATCTAAACTAGACATTAATCTTTAAAAAATAGGAATCCCTAAACACTTTAGAGGAGACTCAAAAAATAACATGTGGCTACAGGGAAACGCCTGCTTTCAGATGTGGTCCATGGATCAGCAACATCTAGGAGCTTATTAGAGGCACACAATTCCAAACCTCTATAGTGGAGGGGTGTGGGTAGTGTGGTGGACATTACATGTATTCACTGGAGTTTATTGGAGATCTTTAGTTTTCCTCTCAATTCTTTTATAAAGAGAAATTGCTCTAAAAATTAAGGTCGCTTATAGGAATCAAAAATTAAATAAGGGTTGGTAAGATGGCTTAGTGAATAAAGGTACTTGCTGAGCAAGTCAGATGGATTGAATTTGATTCCTGTATCCATGTAAAGTAGACAGAAAACCCTGACTCTACAAGTTACCCTGTGACCTCCACTTGCATAACATAGCAGGAGTACTTCCTCATACTCCAACACAAATGATTAATAATAACAATAAATTTAAATTAAAGGGGTCGGGAGAGGTGGTTCAGTGAGTAAGAGTGCCTTTTGTGCCAATGGGAGGTTCTCAGTTCAAATCACCAGAACTCACATAAATAGGTGAACATGTGTTCTTGCAAACCCATCAAGGAAGGGAAATGGAGACAAGAGGGTCACTGGGTCTTTCTGGGTGCCAGACTAGATCCACATGCATCTAGAGACCCTGCACCAAATGAATAAGACAGAGAGTAACTAGCAAAATGCCAACATTCTCCTCTGGTCTTTGTGAGCCCATGTGCATGTGTGCGCCACACACACACACACACACACACACACACACACACACACACACACACACAGAAAAACTAAAAATAACAAAAAGGACCCACCATAACATACAAAACAGCCCTGAGTGAATATGCATATGAGAGCTGAATGCAAAGTAACTAGTGGTTAAAGGAAAGTAACAGGGAATGCATGAGATCACAGTGATAGAAACAACTGAACAAAATTTAGATAATTGATAGAATTAAAAGTAGAGGACATTCCTTTACACTTGGTAATGACTGGTAAGCATAGAATAAATGGTAGTAGAAAAGTCATTATTCTGTAGCTATAACAATAATAATAGCTTTCATCACAAAGTATTCACAGAGATAAGAAATCAGGGGGTTAAAAGAATTAAGAAGAGCAGGGTATATAGTTTCCCAGATGCTATTTACAAAGAGCAGAATAAATTGCAGATTAAGCTGCTGAACACAATTGCACCACTCTTTCCCAGGGATTACCCTCATTAATGGACAGTGCACTTTGATTGGGGCCTAGATGCAAATGCCCAGTAGAGATACAGAATTAGTGGGAATGAAAGGAACTGAGAATCAGACTCTTCTCTGAAAGATGACCCAGTGCTAATGAGGACTTCCAGGAACAAAATATATCTTTCTGGCAGCCCTACAGGCTCTGGTCCATTTACACCACTATACTTCTATAAAGCTACATTGTTCACCATAGATATTATCAATGTGAACATCTTTCTTTTTTTAGAATATTTATTTATTATGTATACAATATTCTGTCTTTGTGAATGCCTGTAGGCCAGAATAGGGCACCAGGTCTCATTGCAGATGGTTGTGAGCCACCATGTGGTTGCTGGGAATTGAACTCAGGACCTTTGGAAGAGCACTCAATGCTTTTAACCTCTGAGCCATCTCTCCAGCCCCCGTGAACATCTTTTTGAAATTTGTAAGAATTGCTTCTATCCTGGACCACCCCATGCATATGTTCTGATACTCTCTTCTCTCTGAGTTTCTTGATTCACACACCATGAAGTATCCTGGGTTACCTTTCTGGGACTCTTTGCCTTCTGAGTTCTGAGTGTTCATCATTAGCTGAAGAAAATCCACTCGGGTCTGGAAGGAGAATGGAAAAAGTCAATGATAAATATTGAGTTGAGAGGTCAGACTTGAAACAAGGGTTCAGAACTTCACTACCTTTCTGATAATATGGATAATATGGTGACCTGAAGTCCACAAGTATGGGTTGAGTCACCAATGAATATAAGCATCTATGCAGTGAAGAAATTGCTCAGTGATTAAGAACACTGAATGCTCTTGCAGAGAACCTGAGTTCAGTTTCTAGTACCCACAAGGTGAATCACAACCACTTGTAACTACAGTTCCAGGGGGTCTTATGCCCTCTTCTGGCCTCTGCAGGAACTGCACACATGTAGTGTACAGGCATACAGGTGAGCAAAACACCTGTACACTTAAAATTTAAAGGAAAACTAAAGACTCTGTCAGCAAGCCTTGGAGAACAATACATTTCCTGGGAGAAATGCAGCTTTTGGTCTTTCATCTCCTGATGTAAGTTTCTCTGGCTTTTGAGCAGATTCCTGGCCAAAGAGTTGCTGGATCCTTCTCTCATCATGCTTGCTCAGGAAAGTCCCTGAATGCCAGCTCTCTCGGTTCTCTTACCACAGTACTCAGTCAGCAACACCCTTGATTAATTCTATCTCTACTCTCACTGCCAAGTTTTAGGTGAGCATCTCCTGACTCTCAAACACTCTATACACTTTATAATGCCAAGTGTCATAACAGGTGCCCTTCTCCATAATCTCCAGACAACATTTTTGGGGCCTCCAGGCCACATAATGCAGAACTAGGTAAGCAGCCTGAAAATTGATTGTCCAGAGAAAGTATTTAACTAATGGGTGAATGGCTTCTGGTCTCACTGACAAGAAAATATCTACACACAAAGAAAGAGGTATTCAGATTTAACATAAGCCAATCTCCACCAGGTATGACCATGCTTCTTTTGAAGAATATATCAAAATAAGAGGTTTAAAATTAAAAACACTCTTTTGATGATGTAAACTTTAGGGGGAGAATAACAGTAGTAGTTATATTTTCTAAATATGAATACTATTTTTAACTTCTTTCAATGAAATGCAGTGGCAATGTTTTTACTTAATTAGTACTTATCTTAGAGAATAGCAATTTCACTCTTTTTGACAAATGTGAAACTATTTCTCTCAATAATTCTCATATAGAATCACACATCATCTTTTTCTTCTCCCTAAAATATAAACATTACCTTACTCTAAGTGTAGTTTTCTTTATTCATTTTTAAGAGAACCCAGAGTAAAGTACATAAATCATATACTCACAGCCTGATGCATGATCAAATCCTGAGCATCATGACCAAACCATGAGCATTATAACCAACCCTGAACATTGTGACAAAAACCCCTAGCATTTTCACCAAACTCCAAGCATCATGACCAAACACTGAGCATTGTTACCAAACCCTGAGCATCATTACTAAGTCCTGAGCATCATAACTTAGTCCTGAGCATTATGACCAACGCTAAGCATCATTACCAAACCCTTAACATTGTGGTCTAAACCCCCAAGCATTATGACAAAACCCTGAGTATCATTACCAAACCCTAAGCATCATGACCAAATCCTGAGCAACATTACCAAGTCATGAGCATCATAACTAAGTCCTGATCATCATGAACAAAACCTGAGCATCATTACCAAACCCTGAACATTGTGACCAAAACTCCCAAGCATTATTTCCGAATCCTGAGTATCATCACCAAACTCTGAAGACCATGACCAAACCCTGAGCATCATGACCAAACCCTGAACATCATGACCAAATCCTGAGCTTCATTGATAAATCCTGAGTATCATTATCAAACCCTGAGCATCATGACAAAACCCTGATCACCATGAAAGCAGCATCAAAATTTACCTTCTGGTTTGAATCAAGGCGATTTTTCTTCACGCTTGTTACAAATTTTTTGAAAAAGTTCACTGATTGTCTTGGAAAAATGGAAAGACTTAGTAACTCATATATTGGAGTAAGAAATGGAAACAGAACTACAGAGAAAAAATAAATGCAGAGAATAAGTAACCAAGGTTTTTCCAACATCAACTGATATGTCTACAATGCAATCTCTATATTAAAGGCTCAGGTAAAATCATGTATGAGGGAGTAGAAAGGGTATAAATCTAATATATGAGAAGGTCTGCTGTGAGATTGCATCTTCCAGACACAACATAGAAACTGGACCCATGAAATCTCAATAATATGGTTGTTTAAATAATATCTGTGCAATGATAACACTAGTTGACATGTCAATGTAGATGTGGAACCCCCGACAGTTCTTACCTCTAGATGAAGAGCCATAGGAAATTAATGACTATTGAGAGAAAGAATGATTTTTCTCCAAGGATGAGTCCCAGATAGGTGATCCAAAACCAAGTAGTTAACCAAAAGCATGTATATAAGGGCAATACTAAATGAATTTTGTAGGATATATACATGTGCATATATCTATATATAACCATTATAGTTATAAGGGAAGAGTCATGGATTTATGGAGTTGGGGACATGAGTGGAATTGGGGGTACTATAGATAATGAAAATATATACTCATGTATAAAATTTTTTTTAAAAAAAGTACTTTAAATAATCTCCCATAATGTTTGACTCCTAAATGTACCCTAAGATGGCAATAATAAAAAAATCATAAAGAAAAAAAGTGAAGTTTCAGATGGGATGGTGCTGTAAGAACTCCTTCAGTCAGTAGCCTTTAAGACACCAGCTCACTTAGGTGTGGCCGTTTATACTATAAATGCCTATGTAAGGCAAGCGCCCACTCTCTCTCCTGCCTTCTGGATTTGGTTCCTGTTCCCTGTTTGTGCAGAAGCCTGTGATTTTTGAGTCTACTCCTAAATAAATAACCCTTTATTATGTGCAGTTCTGATCTAGTGTGGAATGATTTTGTAACTTCCATTTTCATCTGGCCCCCAACGTGGGTGAAATATGGAGAAAAATGGAACCCTTATGACATACTGGCAGCAAAACAAACAAAAACTTCTGAAAAAATTTCAGTTACCCAAAAAGCCAGATAAAAATATTCTCTATAATTCACTAATTCCACACCAGCTTCCTACTCAAAAACCATGAAAAAAATGTCCAGTCATCAAATGGTTCAGAATATGAGTGAACATAGGAGTGCCAACAAACAGGTCTATTGAATATATGATGTTAAATGATGGAAACTAATTGCCAAATTCCATATAGTCTATAAAATATTTGTATTGTGTTTTAATGTTATGCTTAGAATAGGCAGTTCTACAGGAATAGACAGTTAATGGAACATCTCTTATGGTGAGGAGGAATGGGAGATGAGAATTAAAAGATGTAGTATTGCATGGAAAACACATTTCTGATTGACAATGGTGATGAGTACATGTCCCATTGGTGAACAAAAATTGAATTATACATTTTAAATAGTTGAACATTTTACATGTGAACTATTTCTCAGTTATGGTGTTATTTTAATTGGTGTGTAGAAGGGAGAAATACAAAGAAAGAAGAAGCAGGGTGGTGTTGATGCACACCTTTAATCCCAGCACTCAAGGAGAGAGAGGCAGGCAAATTATCTTTGAGTTCAAGGCCATCCTAGTCTACAGAAGGAGATTTGGGACAAAAAGAGAGAGAAGAAATAGTGTACATACCTATAGAAAGAAGAAATGGATCAAAAGCTGAAAACTTTAAAATCTTCTTGGCTTTCTGCACAAAGGGATCTTGTGGGTTGTTGAGGGAATCAACGTTCACTCCAAATGATGTGCCAGTGATCACATCCATGCTATAAGCTCCAAGGATACTGAATAAATAGAGACATGGGAATGAACATTTACATCTGGGGCAGCTCTTATTTCTGAGCTACCCAGGCAGGGAGCCACACAGTCAGAACCTCCTGCTGCATCGGCAGTGAAGTCAAGGTTTCTATAACACTCACACATGGGACCTTTGTCTGTGGTTGGTTTGCAGATGTCATTTTCCTGTAGTTGAGGGGATGCTAAGTGCTTGCAGTCCTATCAACCACATCACCACTTACTCTTTCATGTTGACATGCTTCCCTTTCTCTTCTTCTCTTCTCAAGTTTTTCACCAATGTATCTCCATACTCTCCAATTATGGGAAACATCTAAGCATAAAACACAACATTTGTAGGTAAATATGGAAACTTGGGTACCAGAAAGACAACTTGTTCCCAGTAACAAAGCAATGAGTAGGATGTTACAGTGGATTTTATAATGGATGCTCTGGGTATGAAGATGAAAGACCATATTATAGGTGTTGTAATGCAGAGGACCGACACTTGGAAAAGGACTATGGGCTAGTTTTCTACCTGTTCCTAGATTCATTTCAGTAAATGCCCTATCCATCATCACCTCCTTGAGTTTTCCACTGGTGAATGTTGGAGACAGCAGTGTTCGAAGTCGCTTCCATTCTTCATCCTCAGATACAGTGATAGCCTTTTTCATAAATCCCACTGGCCCGAAAGACTAGAGATAAAACAGAAAGAATAGTTATCATATTAAAGTTATGGTAATATTCACAATTCTATAAAGTTGGTTAACCAAACATAATTTGGTTAACAAATATTTCTGACTGTTAAATGTCTGGACATTACTAGATGCTCAACAATCTTCTTTAATTTGTCTGTAATTCCTCTACATGGAGGTGACACCATACATCTGGCATTGCTTTACATCTTTCTATGACTGTCTCACTTTAAAAGAAAGTCACCCTCACAAAATACAAAAGAACAGATAGGACATACCTACAGCATCCTTTAAAGCTATGCAGACAAAAGTGGATTAGTGACAGACAGCAACTGGCCTTGACAAAGTAGTAGCTCAAGTCAGTTTCTCATCGACATCTGTCAACAGTACAAACAATTGAATGCTTTGAAGCTGAGTTCTTAAAAAAGCAATTGATGATATAAAATATTTATTTGATATTTCAAGGAATAATGTCATGGTATAGAAATAGTTTTATCTTAATTTTATATATAGGGGCATGAGAAAAATTAAATCTATCCTCTGCTAAAAATGTTCTTCAACCATGTATATCTATGAACATTGGATCAATGGAACACACACACACACACACAGTTTTTTGTTATTGTTTTGTTTTGTTTTGTGCCCAAGTCTCACTATGAAGCTCTTTCTGTCCTGTAACTCACTGTGTAGACCAGATTGGCCTTGAACTTACCGATATCCTCCTGCTTATGCCTCTCAAGCACTGAGATTAAGGGCATGCATTGTCACACTTGGCTCCCAGAACTGTAATTTGTGCTAATAGGGACACATCGAATGTTCTTTCAAGACAAAAGTCTAGGATAGCACATGCACACGGAATTCTTCCTCTTCATGAAACAGGATGATACAAAGTTCTTCAATTAACTTCACACTTAATGATGAAATTTTGAATGTTTCATCCATTGATCTGTAGCACCTTTAAAATGTCTGCTATGTCAGCCTGGTCTATAGAGTGAGGTCCAGGACAGCCATACTATACAGAGAAACCCTGCCTCAAAAAACCAAAAAAAAAAGTTGGTAGCAGAAGATACAATGGAGGGATAAGTGTGTTCCTGACCACCACACAAGTCCAGTAAGGGAACATACAATTCTCCTGCCATCCTTATCTCCCTGGCTATTCCGAAGGGGCGGCTTCCCCCAGCTAAACCCTCTCTCCTCCTACCCCATCCCGGCTTTCATCCTGGAACCCCTACCCTTCCTCTCCCCCTTTTTCGGGGAATGAAATTCTTCAACTCAGCCTGTGTGGGTGCTGCCATGATGGGTTAGTGAGTGCAAACGGGAGGGAGTTCCTTTGTTTTAGTAGCCTGCCTACAGCAAGGTAGGACTGCATGCAAAGTGATTCCTGGATAGCAAGGGGCACTAATCCAGTAGTGGAAAACCCAGCAGAGGGAAGAGCCATTGGAGAGCATCTGAAGGAAGAGATGGGCAGGCACCAAGGCAAGAATTCCTCCAACAATCTGAAAAACAACATGAAAACACCAGATTCCAGCGAACTTACGACAGAAGGACTTGAACACCCTATTCCGGAAGAAGTGGAAAACAGTGTCATTATGAAAGCAATAGAGTCTCTTAAACAGGGTATGAATAACTCACTTAAAGAAACAGAGGAGAAATAAAACAAAAAGATTGAAGAAATGAGTAAAGAAATGGAAGAGAAATATAACAAAAACTTTGAAGAAATGAGTAAATTCGTAAATGATACCCTGGGAAACCAAGAAAAAACAATCAAACAGGTAATGGAATCAGTTCAAGGATTGAAAACTGAAACGTAGGCAATGGAGAAAACACAAGCCGAGAGCCGGCTGGATATGGAAAATCTAAGTAAACAACCAGAGACTTCAGGAACAAGCATAACCAATAGAAAACAAGAGATAGAAGAACGAATCTCAGATTATGAAGACACCATAGAGAAAATAAACGCTCTGACCAAAGAAAACAGCAAATCCAACAAATTCTCATCACAAAACATTCAGAAAATATGGGACATAATAAAAAAAACAAATCTAAGAACAATAGGAGTAGAAGAAGGAGAAGAATTGCAGATCAAAAGTCCAGAATATATATTCAACAAAATTATAGAAGAAAACTTTCCCAACCTTAAGAAAGATATTCCTATGAAGGTTCAAGAAGCATACAGAACACTGAATAGACTGGATCAGAAAAAAACATCCCCTCACCATATAATAATCAAAACACAAAGCATTAAGATTAAAGAAAGGATATTAAGAGCTGCAAAGGAAAAAGGTGAAGTAACTTATAAAGGTAAACCTATCAGAATTACACCAGACTTCTCTATGGAAACCATGAAAGCCAGAAGGTCATGGATAGAGGTACTACAGAAACTAAGAGACCATGGATGCAAGCCCAGACTACTATACTCAGCCAAGCTATTGTTCATTATCAATGGAGAAAACAAAATATTCCAGGATAAAAACAAATTTAAACAATATGTAGCCACAAATTCAGCCTTACAGAAAGTAATAGAAGGAAAATCACAACCAAAGGAGTCCAACAATGCACACAATAACTCAGACATCTAGCGTCCCTTCACCAGCACTACTCAAATAAGGGAAACACACAAACACTACCACCCCAAAAAAATAATAACTGGAGTTAACAACCACTGGTCCTTAAGATCACCTAATATCAATGGACTCAATACACCTATAAAAAGGCACAGGCTAAAAAATTGGATACAAATACAGGATCCTACATTCTGCTGTTTACAAGAAACACACATCAACCACAAAGACAGACATCTACTCAGAGTATAGGGTTGGGAAAAGGTTTATCAAGCCAATGGATCTAAGAAACAAGCAGGTGTGGTCATACTAATTTCTAACAAAGTTGATTTCAAACTAAAATCAATCACAAGAGATGGAGATGGACATTTCATACTCATAACAGAAATAATTCATCAGGAGGAAGTCTCAATCCTGAATATCTATGCCACTAATATAAAGGCACCCACATATGTAAAAGAAACTCTTCTGGAACTCAAGGCAGTCATCAAACCACACACACTAATAGTAGGAGACTTCAACACACCTCTCTCACCAATGGACAGGTCAATCAGACAGAAACATAACAGAGAAATAGGAGAATTATTGAAAGTATTGAATCAAATGGACTTAACAGACATCTATAGAACACTCCACCCAAATAGGAAAGAATATGCCTTCTTCTCTGCAGCTCATGGAACCTTCTCGAAAATTGACCACATACTTGGTAACAAAACAAACTTCCACAGATACAAAAAAATATTAGTAACCACCGGTGTCTTCTCAGATCACCATGGATTAAACTTAGAGTTCAACAACAATGCTACCCCCAGGAAGCCAACAAACTCATGGAAGTTGAACAGTCAATTACTAAATCACCCCTGGGTCAAGGAAGAAATAAAGAAAGAAATTAAAGTCTTCCTTGAATTTAATGAAAATAAAGACACAACATACTCAAACCTATGGGACACTATGAAAGCAGTACTAAGAGGAAAGTTTCAATAAAATACTGGCAAACCGAATCCAAGAACACATTAGAAAAATCATCCATTACGATCAAGTAGGCTTCATCCCAGCGATGCAGGGCTGGTTCAACATACGCAAATCTATCAATGTAATCCATCATATAAATAAACTGAAACAATAATCAAGTTTATTTGGAAAAACAAAAAACCCAGGATAGCCAAAACAATCTTATACAATAAAGGAACTTCAGGAGGCATTACCATCCCTGACTTCAAACTCTATTACAGAGCTACAGTATTGAAAACAGCTTGGTATTGGCATAAGAACAGAGAAGTCGACCTATGGAATCGAATAGAAGACCCGGATATTAACCCACAAACCTATGAGCACCTAATTTTTGACAAGGGAGCTAAAGGTATACAATGGAAGAAGGAAAGCATCTTTAACAAATGGTGCTGGCATAACTGGATGTCAACCTGTAGAAGAATGAAAATAGATCCATACCTATCACCATGCACAAAACTCAGGTCCAAATGGATTAAAGACATCAACATTAATCCGTCCACTTTGAACCTGATAGAAGAGAAAGTGGGAAGTAGTCTACAAGATTTAGGCACAGGAGGCCTCTTCCTAAGTAGGACCCCAGCAGCACAGACAATAAGAGAAACAATGAATAAATGGGATCTACTGAAACTGAGAAGCTTCTGTAAAGCAAAGGACACTGTAAGTAAGACAAAAAGGCTGCCTTCTGACTGGGAGAAGATCTTCACCAACCCCTCATCAGACAAAGGTCTGATCTCCAAAATATAAAAAGAACTCAAGAAACTAGGCACTAAATCTCTAAATAACCCAATTAAAAAATGGGGTACTGAACTGAACAGAGAATTCACAACAGATGAACTTCGAATGGCCAGAAGACACTTAAGGTCATGCTCAACCTCCTTAGCGATCAGGGAAATGCAAATCAAAACCACTTTGAGATACCATCTTACACCTGTCAGAATAGCTAAAGTCAAAAACACCAATGATAGCCTATGCTGGAGAGGATGTGGGGTGAGGGGAACACTCATCCATTGTTGGTGGGAATGCAAACTCATGCAGCCACTGTGGAAATCAGTGTGGCGGTTTCTCAGGAAACTGGGAGTCAACCTCCCTCAGGACCCAGCAATTCCACTCTTGGGAATTTACCCTAGAGATTCCCTAGCATACAACAAAAGCATTTGTTCAACTATGTTCATAGCAGCACTATTTGTAATAGCCAGACCTGGAAACAGCCGAGGTGCCCCTCAATAGAAGAATGGTTAAAAAAGGTGTGGAACATATACACGTTAGAGTTTTACTCAGCGGTAAAAAATAATGACATCTTGAATTTTGCATGCAAATGGATGGACATAGAAAACGCTTTACTGAGTGAGGTAAGCCAGACCCAAAAAGAGGAACACGGTATGTACTCACTCATAAGTGGATTCTAACCATAATTTAAAGGTATTTGAG